AAGTGACATTAGTTTTTAATTCTATGAAGTTCTCTTTTAATAGAGATTTAATGAAGTTGGTTTAATATTTTTTAAAAATGGATACTTTAGAGAAATTTATTTTATACCCTTGTTATGGAATAAATTATGTCCCCCAAAAATCTGTGTGGTAAATCCTAACTATTCCTGTGGTCAGAATCCCATTTAGGAATAGGATCTTTGCTGTTAACGAGTATTAGTATAGGATGCTATCTAGAGTCAATCTCTTCTGGGATACAATAGAGATTAAACAAGCAAGAGAAGCAGAGATGGGGAAAGACGGATGCCAAGCCACATGAAGACTGCTCAGGAGCAGAGGCTCAAAAGAGACAAGGACTTTCCTCCAGAGTGGACAGAAAAGGATGGCCTTCCCTTAGAGCAAGCACCTTGGATTTGGACTTCTCGCCTCCATTTGCTGATGTGGCATGACTCAGAATGAGAAGAAACAGCTGAAAACATCCATTAATAATCAGAACATGGAATGTTAGAAGTATGAATCTAGGAAAACTGGAAGTTGTCAAAAATGAAATGGAATGCATAAAGATCAATATCCTAGGCATAAGCAAGCTGAAATGAACTGGTTTTGGCCATTCTGAATCAGGTAACCACAAGATCTACTATGCCAGGAAGGATAAATTGAAAAGGAATGGTGTGGCATTCATTGTCACAAAGAATGTTTCAAGATCTATCCTGAAGTACAATGCTGTCAGTGATAGGATAATATCCACACATCCACAAGGAAGACCAGTTTATACTACTATTATTCAAATTTACACACCAACCACCAAAGCCAAAGACAAGGAAATCGAAGATTTTTACCAATTTCTGTAGGAGCTCAGGTAGAATAATGTCTAAGGCACTTGACTGCTAACCAGAAGGCTGGCGGTTCAAACCCATCAGCCACTCCTCGGAAAGAAGGTTGGGCAGTCTACTTCTGTAATGATACCACCTCAGAAACCCAAGGAGGGGTCGCTATGAGGTCTGATTCGATGGCAAATAACAACAATTACCAATTTCTGCAGTCTGAAATTGACCAAGCATGCAATCAAGATGCATTGATTATCACTGATGATTTGAATGCAAAAGTTGGAAAACAAAGAAGAATCACCAGTAGTTGGAAAATATAGCCTTAGTGATAGAAATAACACTGGAGATTGCATGACAGAATTTTGCAAGACCAATGACTTATCCACTGCAAATACCATTTTTCAACAACATAAACGGCAGCTATGCACATGGACTTCACCAAATGGAGTACACAGGAATCAGATCAACTATATCTGTGGCAAAAAGCAATGGAGAAGTTCACTATCTTCAGCCAAAACAAGGCCAGGAGCTGATTGTGGAACAGACCATCAACTGCTCATATGTAAGTTCAAGTTGAAGCTAAAGACAACTAAAACAAATCCACAAGAGCCAAAACATGACCTTGATTATATCCCTCCTGAATTTAGAGACTATCTAAAGAACAAAATTGATGCATTGCACACCAGTGACCAAAAACCAGAGGAATTGTGGGATGGCATCAAGAACATCATCCATGAAGAAAGTAAGAAGTCATTAAAAAGACAGGAAAGGAAAAAAAGACCAAAATGGATGTCAGAAGAGCCTCTGAAACTTGCCCTTGAATGGAGAGTAACTAAAGCAAACAGAAGAAAGGACAAGATAAAAGAGCTGAACAGAAGATTTCAAAGAGCAGCTTGAGAAGACAACTATTATAATGAAATGTGTAAAGACCTGGAGTTAAAAACCAAAACGGAAGAACACACTCAGCATTTCTCAAGCTGAATGAACTGAGGAAAAAATTGAAGCTTCAAGTTGCAATATTACAAGATTTTATGGGCAATATATTGAATGATGCAAGAAATATATATATTAAAAAAAAAAAAAAAGATGATGATGGAAGGAATACACAGAGTCACTGTACCAAAAAGAACTGGTCGATGTTCATCCTTTTCAGGAGGTGGCATATGATCAAGAACCAACAGCACTGAAGAAGCTGAAGCTGCATGGAAGGAACTGGCAAAGAATGAGGCTCCAGGAATTGATGGAATACTCATTGAGACATTTCAACAAATGGATGTCATGCTGCAGGCACTCACTCGGCTATGCCAAGAGATTTGGAAGACAGCTACCTGGCCAACTGACTGGGAAAGATCCATATTGTACCCATTCCAAAGAAAGGTGATCTCACAGAATGTGGAAATTATCAAATAATGTCATTAATATCGCATGCAAGTAAAACCTTACTGAAGATAATTCAAAAATGGTTGCAGCAGTATACTGACAAAGAACTTTCAGAAATGCAAGCTGGGTTCAGAAGAGGACATGGAATGAGGGATATCATTGCTGATATCAGATGGATCTTGGCTGAAAGCAAAGAATATCAGAAAGATGTTTACTTGTGTTTTATTGACTATGCAAAAGCATTTGATTGTGTGGATCATAACCAATTATGGATAACATTGAGAAGAATAAGAATTCCAGAACACTTAATTATACTCATGATGAACCTGTACATAGACCAGGAGGCTGTCTTTCAACAGAACAAGGGGACATTGCATGGTTTAGAATCAAGAGAGGGATGCGTCAGGGTTGTATCCTTTCACCATATTTATTCACTCTGTATGCTGAACAAATAATCTGAGAAGCTGGATTATATGAAGAACATGGCATCAAGATTGGAGGAAGACTGATTAACAACCTGCAATATGCAGATGACATAACTTTGCTTGCTGAAAAGTAAGGATGACTTGAAGCACTTACTGATGAAGACTGAACACTATAGTCTGCAGTATGGATTACACCTCAATATAAAGAAGGCAAAAATCCTCACAACTGGACCACAGCATCATGACAAATGGAGAAGACTGAAGTTGTCAAAGATTTTATAATACCTGGTTCCACAATCAACACCAATGGAAGCAGCAGTCAAGACATCAGATGACATATTGCACTTGGCAAATCTGCTGTAAAATACCTCTTTAAAGTGCTGAAGAGCAAAGATGTCTCTTTAAAGACTAAGGTGTGCCTAATGCAAGCCATGGTATTTCCAATCGCCTCATATTCATGTGAGAGCAGGACAATGAATAAGGAAGACCGAAGAAGAGTTGATGTTTTTGAGTTATTGGTGTTGGCGAAGAATACTCAAAGTACCATCAACTGCTAGAAATACAAACAAATCTGTCCTGGAAGATGTGCAGCTGGAATGCTTCTTGGAAGCGAGAATGGCCAGAATTCGTTTGACCAACTTTGGTCATGTTGTCAGAAGGGACCATTCCCTGGAGAAGAATATCATGCTTGGTAAAGTGAAGGGTCAATGAAAAAGGGGAAGGCCCCTCAACAAGATGGATTGACACAGTGGCTGCCAATGATGGGTTCCGGTGTAGCAAATACTGTGAGGCTGGCACAGGACTGGGCAGTTTCATTCTGTTGTACACAGGGTCATGATGAGTTGGAGCCAACTCAATGGCACCTGATAACAATAACAACAATAGCCTCTGGAACTGTGAGAAAATAAATTTGTTTGATGATGACATCTACCTGTGATATATCTGTTATAGTAGCATTCAATAACTAACTAATATTTATGATATAAAGGCTCTTTCTAATTCACTCATTCAGCAAATGATGACTCTCAAGGTTGCCTGCAGGTTAAGAAAATGGGATGCAGCGTCCAATCTTATGAAGAGGCAAGAAATCTTCATGATCCAAAATCTTAAAAGAATTTCAATTCATTTCTTAAATGCTAACGGTAAAATCCAGTATCTTAATATTCATGGTGTCCAAATGGAGGATCCTCTTATCACAATTCTAGAAGAATACCAATCTTAGAATCTGTCCTTTTGATTTTCCTTTATTCTGGGCTGAAAAAGAACATTCATAAGCTTTACTGAAGAAGCTTATCCACTGTCAGAACACCTATGTTCAGAACAAACTCTGAAACCAGAATACACAGTGCCTGTATTCCAAATCTGTTGATGCAGTTTTGCTACTGCCTTCCAAATAGCAGACAAGCACAACTTTTGGCTAGTCCTCTGCTAACAATGAATTAGCAGGCAAGATAAATCCATCAGTCCATCTCTCAATTTTCATTAATTCATAATTATTGAATATCTTTTATATGTATATTATTTATACTAATTTCTACATTTCCAGTTATGGTGACTGCATTGTAAAATTTGTTTCTAAAATATTTTAAGTATTTTCAATATAATTTAAAGAAGTTTTTGCCCCATCACCTCAACACTGTCATCTTTCCAAAATCCTCCTTAAAGTAATCACTAACTATGCTGAGAAAACAACAGACTCCTATCCTGTAACTCTAACCTTTTTTATAGTTCTTGTGAGAACACTTTCAATCAGTTCTGATCCATATGAAGGTATGCGTGCTCTTGTTCAGTATAGGATCCTGAGAATACTGCAGTGTGTAGGAACCAACTGTACTCACTTAGATGAAAGGACTCACTGCAGCCTAGAATATTTGCCCTGCCACTGGCTTCTTGTTCCTACACTGCTTGACATTAGCAAGTAACACATAACACACATAAGCCAGATTTGCCTAATAAGTGGCCTTGACTTATAAACACCACTACACTGATTTATATTAACAGCAAAAATCACAGAGAGGAGCATCTACTGATGTCTTTCTTGGTACTTCAGATTTTTAATCTAGGAAAATTAGCACTGGACTTAATTTGTCCAGGTTTTATCAAGAGTAAAGGAAAATTTTAGATTTCAGATGATTTACTTCACTTCAGTAAACTATCCACACTGAGAAATGTCAAACTTGATTTCTCTCATCAGGCATACTAAAACAATCTACCCACCCTTTGTTTCGGTTTTGCATGAAATGCTAAACCTAACAAATAACCTTTCCAATAGAAGAGATCAATGACTCTAGACAATACACAATTTTATGTCTTTATGTCACCTTTCCACAATGAAACATGGAAACTCCATAAAGAAAGCTAATATTTTGCTTTCTGAGCAATATTATTTGCTTTCATTATAAACAGAATTCATTTGAGGCAATAATTTTTCAAATGAAAGGATTAAGAGAATCCCAACATTAAAATCAAAACAGGCATTTTGTGTTCTTACATCTTTATTAAAGCATTTATTTTATAATCCTGGCTCAATAAAAACTCTGGTACTTTGATATCACAAATTGTCTTTAAGTAACACATAACACACATAAGCCAGATTTGCCTAATAAGTGGCCTTGACTTATAAACACCACTACACTGATTTATATTAACAGCAAAAATCACAGAGAGGAGCATCTACTGATGTCTTTCTTGGTACTTCAGATTTTTAAACTGCATTAAGCAGCAGAGTTTCCATAAAACTGCATTTTTGAGATAGGAAACAAACATTCCTCCTATCTTCTGTTTTTTATCTGATTGAACTGGATACAGTTATTATTAATAATTTAACCTTTAAATTTGTGGGGAAAACCAATACTTGATATTCATGACTCATGTGAAGGTTCAACAGCAAGCATAATGAGCAGCCATTATAAATAAAATCATATTGCTAAATATTACCTTAGCTCACAATTCTGCTTATATAATTGTATGAGTATCACAGCTAAAAGTTACTCTTTAATATATCAAAATACATCCAAAATCATCCTTTCATTTCATTAACAATCATAGCAGGAAGCAAGGCGGCATCAAAGATTCATTCTCTGGTCTTCTTGTCATTACTAGAAGCTGATGGAAAGTATGTGGTGATACCCATCTTTGGGCCTTTATCACAAAACCTCCAAGAGATTAGTGGCTTTAGGCAGAAGAACTGGAAGACAGGAAGGCTTGCAGTTAAGGTATAGTTACCATTAGCAGATCTTTGGAAAACAGGAATGCAACCAGAATCACTCAGTATTCATTAGAAACCAAGATTCATTAGATCTCTTCTCTGACAGAAAAATATCTTTAAAAACTTATATATTTTTTCCTTGGAATAACATAAAAAATTAAGATATTTGTGAAAATAAACCATTTTCAAATACATTTGTTTCTTTCTCTTCATTTTTCTCCCTTTCATAGGAGTTCTTCTCATCAAGCACCAATGTGTTCATTATTAAAGCAAAACAAACTCTTCTGTGCTAAATCTTTTTAATCTTTTCTTTTCATCCTCTGAGAAAAGGTCTTCTTCATTGGTTGTAGATGTAAAATCATAGTCTGTGGAATGACCATTTACAAAAGTAAATAATGGATATTTCTCCTTAGAAGAAACTTTCAGTATCTGTAATAGAAATAAAAAAGAATCTTTTATTGGCTGGAATAGCGCAATAAAACTACATGGTATGTGTAGAATTTGTTGAAATTGGGTATCCTTTTGCTGTGTATATTTTAACAATCAGTCAAATCTATTGTTTCAGCCCTGAACCTCTCCTATTAGATTCTCTCTTGCTCCCACCCATCCAGTGCTACTGCTTTAACTATTCTGGCTAAAAGACAAAAGTTGATCACCATTGTATAGTTTATATATACTTCTCTCACTAGTATTAGGCCATTAAGAATTATGTGCTCATTCTCATATCACTCTGAACTCTCTTCCTTCTCTCCCTACAACCACCACCCAAAGTAAATCTTCTGGTCATATTCACTTGAGAACATACTAAAAAGGTATGTTTTCTCTTCTTCTGGTAGACAATGGAACAAAATGGTATCATTGCCTATGATAAAATCCATTGTCTACCAGAAGAGGAAGCTGTGGTAGCATAGTGCCTAAGGCATCTGACTGCTAACCAGAAGGCTGGCAGTTCAAACCCATCAGCCACTCCTCGGAAGGAAGATGGAGCAATCTACTTCCGTAGTGATATGGCCTCAGAAACCCAAGGAGGGGTCACTATGAGTCGGGTCCAACTTGACGGCACAGAACAACAACAATGTCACTTATAAAAGCCCAGTATCTAATGGGCAGGTATTTACCCTGTATCATTTTCTGATCAACCTAGAAGAGTTAACATTATCATCTCATCACCTCCTCTTTCAAGATCAAGAAAGAAGTCATTTCGTTTTATTAGTGTAGGACTGTTGCCCATCAATGTAAGATTAAAATGTGTGCCTCAGAGAAAGGAATTCTCTACCCTTTAATTATAAAATACACTTATTTTTGCAAACGTGCTTGCAATTCAAGGCCTCCTGATGCATAACATTCATTGATTTCAGGTTCTTACAGTTATCATTTTTCTAACTTTCCTGAGTATATTAAAGTATTTTTAAGGCCTATTAAATCATAAATATGTTAAAGGATGGAGGAGCTGAGCAATAAAGTACATGGTAACCTACCAACACATAAACATGGCAGGGAAGAGATAATTTTAGGACAAATAAAAATGGAAATGCCAAAGGAGATTTTAGAAATTATCTAGTCCTTATTTTATAAATGGGAAAATTATTACTCAAAAAATTTAACTGACTTTCCTAAAATTACACAACAACCAAAAAGTAGATTAATAATAAATTATTAGAATACTAGACCTCAGTGTCTTTCAAACATTCTTCATAGTTCTGAGTACCGTATAATTATTCATGCTTTTTTTTTAAGATTAACCATTCATTTGACAATATTTTTCTGAAAATTTTTATCAAAAACTGAAAACTTCCTTTTTTGTTTTAGTATCACCAGAAAGGCTATATTGTCAAAACTTTAAATTCTTTCCATAATAAAAAAAAATAAAATGTACATGAAAATATGCCAAACTAGGTTATCTATGTGATGGGATATCACCAATTGAGATTACACCGAATTAAAAATAAATTAAAATATTTTTAATTTAATATCTTGGGGAAACGTGTATTACACAATTAAGAAATGCTAAAAGAATAAAGCAGGATATTAAGCTATCTGTAACATTTAATCACAATTACATTAAAAACTGAAATATGTATTTTCAAAAGAGTAAAAGAAAACACAACATATTATTAATAGGTATCTTTCAATGAAACTGATTTTTTCTTCTTGCTTTATATATATTTTATATATATATATATTTGTATTTTTCAAACTTTCTAACAGGTATTTCTTCTATAACTAGAAGACCAGCATTGTTTTTAAAAAGATACATAAGATAACTCAGAGTTGCTTTTAAGAGACTTCAGTGGTTTGGTCAACAAGAACTTTGGAATAGACAAGTCTAAATTTTGTATCTGTTACAAGATGGCTAAAGAGGCTCTGAAGAAGCTTTATTATCTAAAAGGCAAATAATATAATTTCTTTTCAGAAGGTCAAATATTTTATCACACTCTTCCTAGGTACAGGCTTGACAGGTTTCAGAATTTACAAAGGAAAATGCTGGAGGACAGAAGTTAAGCATTTATTCCATCATAAAGCTAGTTGCAGGTAAGAGCAGAAATAGAACCAGAAGATGACCTCTTCTCTCCAGGCCAAAACCTTTTCCACCAGTCTCTGCCACAACATAAGTAAAATTATACTCACTGTAGAACAGTCTGTACCTGTGCAGTTGGTATTCACTACAGTGGAGCTATACCTTCTAAAGGGGATAGGGTCTAAAGTCAGCCCATAATGAGAAATTCAAATATAATCAAAATCAATAAAGTCAACTTTACCTTTGAAAAGCCCTTAAACTGCTCAAACAGCATTATACATAATCTTGTGCATACAACCTTGTTCATGTATAAATGAATAATATATGTTATAATGTATAGTATATAATAAAAAAATACAGATGGAAAAATATTTTCCTTTTTTTTTTTATTACAAGAGCTCATGTAGTTGAATTCAGGTAAGTGAAATGTGCACCTACTATAATAACTCCACTCTACATCCTCACTACCCTATCTGAATCCTGTGTCTCAGTTATCTAGTGCTGCTATATCAAAACACCACAAGTGAGTGGTTTTAACAAAGAAATTCATTTTCTCACAGTTTAGAAGGCTAAGGTCCGAATGCAAGGCCCTGGGCTCTGTCCCCTCTAGGGGACAATTCTTGTCTCAGCTTCTCTGGTGTTCCTTGGCAAGCTTTATGTGGCATGTACTTCCCCTCCGTTCATGCTTCCTTCTCTGCACCTCCTCTGCTCTTTTTATATCTTAAAGGTGACTAGACTAAGACATAACTTACACTGCTATGGACTCATTAACATAACAAAGAAACGCCTATTCCCAAATACAATGACACCCCCAAATTTAAGGGGATTTACAACACATATTTTTGGGAGACACTGTTCAATCCATAACACCCTGTAACGCATTTTTATCACTATTACTATATTGAAAGTACTTTCTCCTCTAATCTTCAACTAAAAAGGCCCTTTATTATTTCCAATTCTGTTGATATTTCCATGGCAGTCACTGCTAAAGCATTCCTTTCCTAAAATTCCTACTTCCCTTGATTTGCAATATTTTGCTTTCCTGGTTCTCCTATTTACTGAACTATTTCTTCCCTGTCTTGTTCATCACGTAGTCTCACATCCCAAAATGGAGACATAATAAATCAATTATTGGTCCTTTATAATCTCTCTATATTAACTCCTTTTATAAGCTTTCCCTTAAAAAAATATTATCTACTCTCAGTTTAAACCATCTCTCTCCTAGGGATTCCAAACTTCTAACTTAAAAGTAATAATGACAATGATACACTTATATGTTGTTGTTTGTTGTGTTGTTATGTGCCATCGAGTTGGACTATGGAAGTAGATTGCCCCATCTTCCTTCCGAGGAGTAGCTGGTAGGTTTGAACTGCCAGCCTTCTGGTTAGCAGTCAAGTGCCTTAGGCACTATGCTACCAGAGCTCCCGATACACTTATATA